TATATATATATACTGCTCTTGAAGTATAAAGCGTTAGCGAAGTGGATATTTTGAAACACACACACAGAAGTACGTAATGTCTTTCATAACTTCTATCAAGGTCCAGAGAAATCAACTGGCCTCGTTGGTTTAGGTTTAATTCTTGGCGAGTAAGCTTAGTCGCCGATCGACACACAAATTAATGGTCTTTACTGTCTCACGATCCAAACGGATACGCATTCCATAGCCAACACGTACCTGTTTTCTGTAGCGTTGTTCGAAGAAGTAGCACTGCAATAGTGGGTTGTCACAAATATTTGTCGTGACTACCGTCCATACACGTATTATCTATTTATTTGTGACTGTAATTTGTAAACTGTAGAAGCAATGCATCACAAAGCTGAAAGCGTGAAAGCTGTCAAAGACTCACAGCAGTGAAGCAGTAAGCACACAAGTGCAAATTTTGGAGCAGCAGAAGTGTTAGGAATCAAATAGCCTTCTAAATTATACTTAAATATTTGGAATGCAATTTGTGGGTACGAAATCTGATTCGCTATGAATCGTGACCAGGAAGTGGGCCTCAATTTGGTCTAAAAAAATATTGTTACGAATGTTTTGATTGTTCTCCCTGCGGCCTGCTGCTATGTGTGTACAGCTTTTTCACGTCCAGCTAGACTACAGCTGGTACGATTGTTATTTAAAAATCAACAGTATTCCTTTGATAAATAACATTGTGGATCATCCCTTTCTTTAGATAGATAGGACATATTTATTCGATCTTGGAGCTGTGCTATCGCAAGATTGCCGATTTTACCCAACTTTTGGTACGATCCGTCTCCCAGGTGTATCTAGGCAGCCACCAGCTTGCTAAAGTGGTTCCGCTAATAGAATACTGCTGGTGCTCTATTCATGACCTCGCCTCGCCTCTCGTCACTTCACATCGCAGTTCTCAATACACACATCCGCCAGTGCGCTGTGGTCAACTGTGACCACGTCTAATATCGTAAAGTCTGTCCAATTAAGATAAAGCTCGAATTAGATCTCGTCATTCGTGTATGCTCACGCGTGTATAGCGGATCATGTACCCTTTCGAAATGAGCCTTGTATGCCACTATAAAGCTCTAGACAAAAGCGACAACGAAACAATGACCAGAGCTCCAGAGATATGGAGAGCCAATCCGTTGTAGTCGTAATAATTGCGATTTACAGGCCGCTATTTAACACACTGTTTTGATATTTGTGCCTATAGCACATCACAACACAACTATACTCGACGACTATCCATAACTTTGGCATATGGGTTGTATCATCCGAAAACTTTAAAGTGGCTGCGCAGAGATACCAACAAACTCACACTCTACTCGCGCGCTATTATGTGTAGCTAGAGCGATAGATTCTGTTTGTTGTGTCTGATTGTATCCAATACATTCTCGTAGCCATCCTAATATATATGCAGTCAATTGAGCCGTCGTGCCGTCCGAAAAATTTACAGTCGTTGCGCATGAGATACCAGCATACAATCCCACTGTGGCCATCACTGTATATGCGCGCTCGTTGCCTCGCCATTTGATGATCTGTCTGCAATTGCGCTCTCCATTCTTGTACATTAACATCTACAAGAATTATTTCAGGTGAATCGCCTCAGCTGACCCGCACCGGAATGTCAACAAGTACTGAATAGGTAATGTGTGCTACATACTCTGCATATAACCAGCATATAACCAGCCCCGTTTTCACTATCAACTCGTCTGATACTTCAACCAGAGGTCTACGCAATTTGAGATCGTCTTTTTCGACTATATAGGCTATCAGGGATCACTTGAACTAATCAGCATTCGCTACCCAGGCCAGTCGAACTATATAGAATGAACTAACTCAGGGTACACGATCAAATCGTTTTGTCCAATTATACACCTAGGAGTCTATGTATATATAATCGTACCCTTAAGGTATATAGGCAACCAAGATTGCATAGTATCCATCAACGTCCGCTATTCCGAATAGCCGCACTACATTTGATTCAACCTACGATGTATGTTAGGGTAATACAATGAAATAGCATTACTGCAATCCAGATACATGCTATCCTTGGCAACTCGCATACCCCTTCGTTGGCTCACCATGAACTTAGGAATTGATCATATAGTTCAGTGAAAGTTGTACACAGCATATATATATATATATATATATATATATATATATATATATATATATATATATACACACACACACATACACACACACACACACATATATATATATATATATATGTGTGTGTAATTGTTTGTGGGTATGCGGCTATGTTTTTGGACTAGAGCGCATCACGATTCCCCCTGGCCACACCTTCAGGTTCCGATCTACAATAACCCACCCATATCATTGTGTAAGAATCGTCTACCCTTCGAGTACTGAAAGCGTATCTCCTTGGCGTCTGTGATATACATATTGTCTCTGAATTCATCTTTGATTGTGTTTGTGTAGTATTCCTTGTCGGTGAGCTTCAAGCTTTTTCCAGCCACTAGCAGCTGTCGGTACAATCTTAAGATATGTATACGTACCTCCAATGAAGGAGCAGGTATTGACATCTTGAATAAAATTGCGTGTTGTGCGTTCGTGTTATACGTGCGTAAGCGTGTCGTCGTCTACTCGCATCAACTTGGCTTCCGCTGACACCGTTTATGTTTAGTGTAGTATAACTATTTGTTTTTGTATATCACATATGGTTCACAGAAATTCAGCCACCCTCACTGCCTCCACATCAGCCGCAAAGTCGATGTTTATTTGATGAAAGTGTTGAAACGTGCTTCAGAGAAAAAAAGAGAGGGGTAATTAATGCAAACATTGTCGTAATCTTTTAACTAAATAAAGACACAAAAATATGTGAGAACTTGTATGTATGTAGAAGAGTTTAAAACATATCTGTCGGTATTTCAAATACATACCGCAGGTCTATTTATACACCCTATAAATATATTCCTTTTTTCATATAAATATTTCTTGGAAGAAACCACACAATGTGACGAATCATTCAAAAAAACATGACTACAGAATTCCGATGACTCCTGGGAGCGTTCTGGACAAATAGTTCTGACGTATAAAAAGATACGTGGAAACTCGCGTAGCTGGAGATCAGATACGCTAAAATAAAACGGAATACGTTACCCTGAAGTGATATAGGTAGTAGTGTACTGAACTATAGGCTTGTAGCTACAAGTTGATATTGGTGTGTATATAGAGACAAAGAGTGTCTTGTGGCTTAGGGATAGAGTCTACAACGATCTGCGTACTACGTGTTTAACATATCTTCATACACCATGTTACGCAATGGCAGAGCCGAGAACGAGACCTTGCTGAGACCAGCCAAGTATACCCATTTGAATTCGCATGGGGATGATGAGGACCATATCTCATCTCTAGCTTCGCCTGCCCCCCCCTCCTACGCTGATACTCTACCACCAAATGAACACACGCATGTTAGTCGTGCAGTTAACCTGAAAACTCTTGTCATCGGATTGATTGTGAGCTACTTGTGCGGTGTGATGACGACGATAGCTGTCGGTGCACTGATTGTAGACATAGAGCATCACCACCATGATGTGGCGATCGCTGAGAACTCCGGCTCGGTTGTTCCTTATGCGCTAAACAGTTATCCATCAGGTATCGTACGTCTATAATTTAGGTATCGTATATCTCAAATCTGGACATAGTGTCTCGAATTCGGTTATTATATGATAGATATTCTTTAGAGTGTACTACATAATGCGATGGCATTTCAACCACAGAGCATTCAATCAGTTAAGGTAGTGTTGCACATGAATGATATAAATGCTGTGCCTTTGTGTGACTTAAGTATCGTCGTAATGTATTTAGGTTTGGGTGTTCCGTAAAGTGCACTCCATAATGCGATTATAAAACACAAGGAATCCTTTTATATGTTTTATATGAATTAAATAGTATTTGAAGTTCAATTTCGGCACAACGTACTACATAACGTACTACAGTCAGAGTCACTACTTTCTCAGTTAAGATTAATACACGGCATATTAAGGATGTGAATTTTAATCAGTGACACTGCAGTACTAGATGTGTTAGAATAGTGCTATATGTTCATGATTGTCTTGTACAGTCTAATTGCCACGTTCTCCTGCGTTGCCAACAAGTTTCTATCCAAAATTTGTTGTGCCTTCGTATAGCACACCTTTATGTTCACACTTCATTATTAGCTGATTTGAAAACGCCCGCATATCAAGTAATGATATCTACATGGTTGTGTACGTTGGAGATATGCTTTGTACTTGGCAATCATTCAATCAGTCACCTGTGCGGTTTATATTTGTCACCTTTACATATTAAAATAAAAGGGTATCCGGACCGCCGGTATTGCCCTGCTGTGAATTAGTACGTGGTCTTTGCTCAAATCTATATTCTCTTATAAATATCCCATCCTATTCCGCCGAGAAACACTGCTGCCAACCCCTTTGACTGTTCGTGTGTGATCGACAATAACAATTAGCTGCACACGCCACCAGACCTGTATGCGTTTACACTGTAGCTTTGTACACACAAACCAACCGACCTCCACCACGCTACAGCGGGTGCCGATCCTACTAACAGACACCATAAAAAGAAAGCGATGAAGAAGGCTATGAGGAAGTACCACGAGCATATGCACGAAGCCGAGAGTGCGCACGAGGTCGACACTGAACACAGTACTGAAGTGGGTGCAGGTATGTACACTAGCAATGAGGTTCAGGATTGTTAGTATTAGGTGTTAATCCTGAAGCTGACACCCATTCTTCATTAAGGTGTATGGAATCCATGGATACGATATTTGGTGATTGCAGCGCTACATATATGAGAATGCGATACGGATTTTGATTCTTGTGATGAAACTGGTTCAGTCGTTATTGGTGTGGCTTCGTAAAATATTCCTCCCATGGGCTATCTGTGGAGTGACGCCGCCTCGGCTCGTGCTTTTGTAAATTGAACATCGGTAAGTCAGCCCCTCGGTTATATTACTGAGTGTACTGTGTATAATAATTGAACATCGGTTAGTCAGCCCCTGGTTTATAGTACTGAGTGTACTGTGTATCATGGCCCATCTGGTTACCAAATGAATCTTTGCGTGGATGACAATATCGTTCGATGTGGTTATTAGCTCACGGCTATGCCTTGATACCAGACACGCACAAGATGTGTCACATTATCCACATTCAAGGTGTATAGGACAGGTGTTTCACCTCGGCTACCTACATCGCATGCACAGGGCTTAAATCCTTCACCTACATTACACACAGGCGGCTACCCGTATCACGTGGCCAAAAAAAGCAATACAGAACATGTGGATAAGTGTGCGCACATCTACAAACCTGGTGTGATGGAGGCTGGGGCGCTCCTGAGTGTCAAAACATCGATGGAGATCAACTCGGCCATGGAATACGTCAGGCACTTCAACATGGCGCAGAAAGAGATTGTCATAGTTTGTTACAAGGTGTGTCGTTTGGGGTTCTCTTTCGAATTTGTCGACGTCTCAGTTACGAATTTAGGGAGTTAGCGTGATGAAGGTCGTGGATGATTTTGGCATGAATCGAGATGATGTGTGCTGTTGTATTGGTCTATTTGCGACTTAACGATAGTCGAATTCTTGCTTGGCACAAATGCCCGTGTTTCAGTCGAATGGGGATCTACCTTTCGCTCCAGCTGTCTTGCATGTGAAGCGCGTTTAAAATCATGGGCGCTATTTGACCATTGATCAGCAAGGCCCTGGGAAGCGTATGGCAGCACACCAGTAGGAATCTCTCCTTTGGTCTATTCTATGTTGCACTGTGCATGCTTATCACCTTGTTTCTATGCTTGATTGTATAGTTATCACCTAATAATATGTCTCCCGCCCATTAATGCGAATACAGTTCAGCGATGTGGCTGCCGTGGAAGCGCTCAAAAACGCTATCAAACGGGGTGTGGAAGTGTTTATTCTCGCTGATTTTGTAGAGAATCACAAGAAGAAGAAAGTGGTCAACAAACTTGCACGTCACGGAGCACATGTCAGGTGAGTACACGTCTGGGATTGGGTATACTAGTTTATAGATATACACATCCCGTGTATTTCCCACAGCTTGAATTTTCTGTACACGAAGGTTTCTGTGGTACTTCGGTTTTGCACGTATGGTCTGGTATCGGGCAATGGGGTGTACTGCAGTGTCCAAATATGTTTGAATCTCAACAAACACAAGTGATGGCAATGTTCGTTGGTTAGCAGTCAAAGTATAATATTGCTCAAATCAGGAACAGCGTTTAAACCCTAAATCAGGTTGCGTGCATTTCCAGTTTGATATCATGTTGAGGCTGATATCATACATAGCTTCTATGCATCGCTCTATACTAGTGGTGGGATCAATTGTCATTCAATGTCTACTTTGTACCCTTCTGCACAGGTTATTCAATGGCTTCGCCGGTATGCACAAGCTGCATGCTAAGTTTGTAGTTATTGACAAAACGATAGGTTTGACAGGAAGTGCGAATCTCTCGCACAACTCGGCAGGATCAAATATGGAGCTCGTTATCAGTTTAGAGTCTAAAAAAGTATGTCGAGTATCTATGTTTTGTTTTTTGGCATATGGGTAATTTCCAGATTACACAATCATTTCAAATAGGAATCTACTGGTCTGTCATAGAAGCGAATTAGGTATGGCTAATTGGTTGGTGTTAGCTCGATACCCTTGACTATGCACGTATGGTGCTTGCGAGTCATGACTGTAGTCACTGATAAACAATTGATATGAACCGTTTTCTTCACCTTACTTATTGATGCTCGCACATCCATAATCACAGGGAGTGAAAGCTCTACGGTGCAAGTTCTGGGAGCTGTGGAGCTATGGAGTTGCCAACCCGTACACCACTGAAATCGCCAGCAAGACTCCTCGTGATGAAAATTTTCTTTTGGAATGATTTAAGCGTGTATTATCTTTTTTAGTCTCCATGAATAGTTAGCACATCAACAGAGTAGTCAACACTAGTATCTACGTATGTCAAAAGCAAAAAATGTGCTGTATGTTGTACGTAGGCGTGAGAGTCTAGGAATACTTTAGAATGCAAGCGTCAACCACTATCAACGTATGACGTGCGTGTGGCATCCTATAATTACTTATCGAGTATATAAATAGTGCAAGCTGTATGAAACGCACTTGAAGCTATGAAGTCGTAGCCACTGTGCCTAGACATTAAAGTTCTGGCGTGTTCGCTCTCAAGTTAGTTTGAAACAAATAAAATATTATACGAAGCTCCGGTCAGTGCTTTAGTCACAGTTACAATAGAAATCCGAATTAACATTCGGATTTTTGTGCAGCCGTCAAAGCTCGCTTGCAGACAATCGCCAGCAATCACCTCAAAACACTCGCACCGTATCGCGAGCACTATAGACTATGCGTCAGTTGTGGTTTAGAGATAAGAGAGGTCACTATGCAATGTATCCGCTGACCTCCGATCTCCGTCGTCAGGTGATACGGGTTCGTTGTGCAACACACTTGTGAAGCGCACAGATAGTCTGCGTACCTCACCTAAATATACTAATATTACATATCATCTGAAATGCCGAAGTATGTCATATTGTATGCTAAACTAGATTAACAATGTAGTCTGGGCATCCCACCTAATGTTACCATCATTCTCCATCATCTAGAATGTCGGTTTATACCGGATTGAGTACCAAACAATGATGCTATTATGATTTTAATGTACATCATCTCGGTCAACCAGACCTCTCAGAAATCACTGCACATACTTTCCGACATATTCAATGACCTATAACCGCCACCTTTACTTGATACCCAGTGTGCATCCCAATGCAATCTTGCTTTCACACATGGAACACAGAGGTAGTTTTCTAAATCATGAGATATATTGAGATGTGCTAATCAAACCAATCAAGACTACGTCTAAATTTACTCTGCATCCTCACGCTCAACCAAGCTTCCTAGCTGTCACCGTGGTATATTCTCCGATCCATCGCCGACAGCAGCACAAGCAGGACCGCGGCATCCAACCCAGCATACTCCAACTGTGACGCCGACAAGGGTCTCCGTGCCCAGTCAGACCTTTGTTCGCGCTTATCCAGTGCGCGAGTGTTGGAGATATAATGTTGGCAACACTTCTTCAACCCGGGCATGCACCCCGTCTTCAGACCCTCCACGCGTGCGGCAGTCTGTAGGTCTAATAAGCAGCTGTCACATTCGGATGTATTCGGTTCTTTATGTGTATGGCTTGGTGCAACTAAGCGGTCATCAGTATCCACACGACGATGTAGGAATAAGTTGAGCTTGTTGAGATCGTGGCCAATGGCAAACCCCACCAGCAACACACCACTATGGACAAATAACCAGGAAAGAAATGCCTGCGCGTCATCCTCAATCTCTTCACTCAGAAGATCTACTATCCAAGACTCGATACTGTGCTCTTGTGTCTGTGTGTTTCCAACGGCCAATTGGATCGTAGCCAGTCCTACGTCATCGCCCTCCCCCGCCCATTCTGTATCGAAAGCGACCACAGCCCTCATACCCTTGTCGTCGCACCTTCGGATGTGTTCGTACAACCGCTCCTCCAACTGTGCCAGATCAGACGTCCCATCCACAAACGTCGCTGGCGATGGTAGTGTCAAGACCGAGCCACTCTTAGCGCTGTCACATAACAATTCAGTAGTGAGGCCCTTCAGTGCCTCACGAGCACGTTTCCAGTCAGACGTCGTATTGAATTCGTCAAGTGATTGCTTCCGCTGTTGGCGTTGTTTGCGTGTCAGCTGCGGCGACGGTGAGCCAGTTGTGGAATCCGATTCGTGCTCCTTGTATACATGCTGCTGCCATTTCTTCAGCAGTACCAAATCTCTTGTCCGGCATTCCACGCTGACTTTCCCTGCTGTATCCTGCCCTTGAGCCAACTCTGACACGGTCTTGTCCATAATCTCAGTACTCTCCTTCACAGCCTGCACCACTTTAGTACACTTCACACCCCTCTCGCACATCCCAGGCTTCATCACACCCACCTGTTGGCCCTTCGGCGTTACTTCTTCTGAGTTCGTATCGGCATCGCTATCCTCATTGTCCTGCGCGATTGGCATCTCCAGATACGCAATCGCCGTGTCTAACAAAACAACCCCATGGGTAGTACCTTGCAGCCGTGTTGTGGCAGTGGGGATCCACGGCCGGCGCAAGGCGTCTTCTAACTGAACAATCTGCACGAACAGTGGCACTGCAGCGCTGATTAAAGCGGTGTCCAGACTCACCGGGCACGGCTCAACGTTTATATCTAGGTTACCAAACTGTGAAGCAAGTGTATACAGACCATCACGGCCATTGGCGGCCGGCGTGGGCGGATCACCTGAACCAACAGACACCACATCCGTCGAGCTCTTATCGCCTTCATACGATAAAAACGAATCGAATTCGGACAAATTGGAATCGATCGATACGCACCGCACTTCTGTAAGATTGCCACCAAACATACCACTCTTCATTGCTTTATAGGCTAAGGTAGTGGCTGCCATTTCACACTCAAACAGGGACTTATTGTTGTCAACCTCTGAGACACAGGGATCAGACGCGACTGTGCTTTGTTGTGCCGCAGAACCAACGATATCTGTACTATGACCCACACTATGCGCACTAACAATACACGCAATACTGTTGTCATCAGCCCCCACTCCATACTCCATTATACTGACCTTTCGCGCACGTTCCGACTTGATATGAATCTCTGTATCCGGAAGTTTCTTGTTCGCAGACAGAGACTGTACGTTCACACTATCACTCAGGACGTCCCCTGTACTTACACCTACACCCTTCAGCACACCACACAACTGCTCCCACACACGTTCGTACTTGATCAGTAACTCGGCGCTGGGCGGTGTCGGCTTCTTCTCACCTTTCCTCTTCTGCGCCTTATTGTGAGCCTTGCCATTCGCCCTCTCGTTGTCGGGTCGGCTGTAGCTCTCGAGTCGTGACTTCCTAGTTGTGGGGTTCACAGCCAGATCCGTCACAACGTCTGTGGCCCTGATAGGCCGCTCTAGGAATCTCGGGTCTAAATCACCGTACACCTCCCCATCCGAGTGTGTCTTGCGGTAGTTAGTCCACTCTATATCCGTCTGTCTCTCCTCAGCTTCGCGCACAAGGGCGATCGTCTCCGGTGTCAGATGCGAGCTTGCGATACTCAGCACCGACTGGCCCTTGTTATTCACTACTTTGACATTTGCACCTTTTTGCAGCAGGTGCCGTACCATGGTGTTCCTGTTTCGGGTAGTCGCGAAGAATATAGGAGTCTTGCCATAGCTATACTTGCCGCGTGCGATAACATTGATATCACAGCCCAACTCCTCCACCAGATAATCAATGCTACCAAGGGATCCCTGCCATGCAGCCAGATGCAACGCACCCTTGCCTTCCTGGCTATTGGCCATATTGTCCAGATCTTGCCTAGTCCATCCTGATTCCACCAACTCGCGTAGGTGTGCGGTGTTGCTCCTTCCCGAGGCTCGGCGTATCTGACCCGCAGAGGCACGCTCCGACATATTACCTTAATGATAAATTTTTTAGGGATATTCTACAGGTGTTTTCTTCGGGATATTCAAGTCGACAACCTGTTTTATTGCGGGTATGCAACTAGGGTTAAATAGAAATCAGTAAAAACAAGCAGCCACATTATAACGGGGCACAGACGCAGGACCCCATACACTCGACCATGAGAGGGGACAGATCTTGTATAAATGATTGCGCCTGCGTGGCCTCTTGACACGGCTAGATGAACTTGAGATGATATTTCACTTCCAAGCCAATCTGTCAAAGCAATAGAGATAGCAACGCAAAATAGCAGAGTATAGCAACAGGGTAAGATACATTGATTATTAAAATACGAACGTATACAAGTATGTGTACAAACAACCACCATAGTGGGTTTGTCCCGTACCTCTTATTGCCCTAATACTGTACATAGCACACCCGGACCTACTTTATATCAGTGGGGTATAATAATCCAAATCAAACATTAGGTGGTATATACCCGAGAAAAACATACCGGAACTGAGCTCATCAAGATTAGCTAGTATAGCCCTAATATATTGAATCATACATACACTATTCGAGCTTACTTATGTATACGAACTCGAAGCATGCAGATGAAAGCTCTCTCGTGACTGGCACGATATTGCATGTAAATAGTGAGAATATGTATAGTATACTCGGTCAGGGAAGATATACTCCATAACGCATGAAGCGGCACTCGCGTATCTTCCAACAACTCACACATTGTGGGAGGTAATAAGGTCTCGAATGCAAAATGAATTTGTTCAGTAAGTCAGGCATCGCAATTGCATGAGAGACGCACAGTAACACTACTTGTAAATCACTGGGACGAGAAGTAACTGTCATGAGAACATTATAACCCTTTCAACCTATTA